ATAACCCTTACACCAGTAAAGCCACAACAACACACTGATGCTCATCACATTTCTTCTATCTGAGAGAGCATTGTGCCTTCTTGTTTTTCCGACAGCTTTCTCTGACTCCAGAGTCTCCGGGTCATGAAAATTTGTGTTCGTCTGTAGGAGAAAAAAGCAGCTGTTTCAGTGTGTTCTGAAAGTGTAAAATATCCCTATCTGTTTTTCTTGTTGCCTCCAGGTATGTACAGCCTCCAGTCATCAGTTTTGAGGCTATCTTTGAGCAGAGCACTCCCACCTCTCCTATCGTGTTCATCCTGAGTCCCGGCTCGGACCCAGCCAGCGATCTGATGAAACTGGCAGAGAGGACAGGCTTCGGGGGCAGCCGGCTGAAGTTTCTAGCCATGGGCCAGGGTCAGGAGAAGGTACAGGAGCTCACTGTGTGGTCACTGTGACTTTGCTTGGTTATAATAGTTAATTTGTTTTACACCAAATTGTAAAAATAGACCTGCCTAGCTCCTGGTCTCCCATCCAGGCTTATTCTTGCCCTGCAATCTGTGCATACAGGAGCACTCTCCACCTCAGCCTCTTGGGATACAGTGATTCCTGAAAATATACTGTATGGATGGACAGAAGGGCACAATATAATGTAAATTCGAATTAATGCTGGTATATTGTAATACATAAATTGCATTGGTGGACATATATGTTGTTAAAGTGTCCTTAAAAAAAAAATCAGAGTCGCAGCAGCTCGCCAGGCCAGAGCTTGTCCTCGTGTCTGTAGCGTTAACAGGACTCGAGAGTGTCAGACTCCTGGATGGACAGCTGGGCACAGTTGGGTAAACTAGAGCACCTGGGGTAAATTATCATGTTCTGTATAAGTGTCCTCATTATAATGGAATATTTTCTTGATCAATAGAAGTATGTCCCAATGATTTCAAATAAAACAGAACAGGATAAATCAACAGCTCCAAATAATCTTCAGGACTAATTTGAAAATCATATGAACAGCTGTAATGTTGAGATGAATTAAAGCACTGGATCAGGTGTCTTCATTAAGAATGGTAGGGAAAGCAGAAAGGAGCTGTATGCAGTCAGTACCAGAATAGAAAGAGGGGAAGGCAGCTTGTGCAATTTAATAGTTTGATCGATCCACTCAGGGTTTGTATTCCTCTGAGTCTGTCTGTTTTATGGATGCTGCAAAAAAAACAAATTTTATTAGGCGCAATGTTTAACGAATATGGAAATTTACATATCTTTGGGCTTCATTTATACATTTTAAAGAATCATTACATGTACTCACATAGTCCAGCTGTTCAGCTTTTATAAAACGCTTAAGTGTTTTATTTATGTGAGATATATTGTATCTTTGTTACACTTTCATGAAGCTTTTTTATTCAACACTCAGAAGCTAAATATCCGTTGCCTTCATCATTTGAAAAACTCTGATTTAGAACACAACCAATGTACTCACACAATATGAAAGGAATAAAGTTTAAAAACTTTAATTAGAAATAGATGTTGGGTGTTTGTTCATTGTTATTTAAAATATGTTTTTTAATGGGAATGTTCTTGTTGAACATTCCCATTGTTCACCTGAAGAAGGCTCCACGGCCGAAACGTTGTGTTCTCTTTCTTCTTTTTTTCAGCATGGAATAAACCTATTACATGTTCTTGTTGATACTTGTTATTTCACCGTCTCCACCAGGTGGCACTGCAGCTGTTAGAGACGGCTGTTTCTCGGGGGCAGTGGCTCATGCTGCAGAACTGTCACTTGCTGGTGAAGTGGCTGAAGGAGCTGGAGAAGTCTCTGGAGAGAATCACCAAACCCCACCCAGACTTCCGCCTCTGGCTCACCACTGACCCCACCAAGGACTTCCCTATCGGAATCCTGCAGAAGTCATTGAAGGTACTGTACATGTGCAGTGAGACCATGTGCAGACAAGATCAATTGTACCTTATAAAACAAGGCTGCAATGTTACTGCACATGGCTTTATAATCTGAACCTAGCTGTTTTAATTGGCTGTTATTTGTGATTTATTAGTTAGAATTGGTTGAAAAAATAACTGATTTCTCTGAGATGTTATTCTTATAGAATATTTTAGTAAAAAATGTTATAATCTTAAGAGTTACTTCACTGAGGTCACCTTTGGCAATTAAAAACATACAAATAAAGAGCAATACAATATAAATAATGTAGCTCAAGCTCTTGATCGCAAGGATGGCAATTTTTGCCTCCTGTTTGTAACTTTTCTAATGCTCTTATATCATTCCAAAGCATTTCAGTGGCTCTGAATTAAGGCTGACGTGAATAGAGTGACTATGCAGTATTTTTTACATATTTATTTATAGGATTTGGTAAAAACAAATGAAAATTAAAATCAGAGCAATGTTATACAATTGAAGTACATTTAAATTATACATGGTATAAAATCACATGGCTGTTGGTAGTGAGCTGTAAAGGTCAGTCAGTGATCTTTGGCAGCCAGTGGATAGTGTCAAGGTATTTTGTAGGATGCATTTACTGAAAAAGTCTTCAATAGAAGAAGTTGAGGTTACTTAGAGTGCAATCACTGGAAGTGTGGACTTTATACTTAATTTTGATAAAAAGAAGGCAAAATCTAATTATCTTACAAACTGTCAGAACATAAAATAAAGCTTTGACACACTGTGAAACATGGTATCAATTGAACCATGTAAAGTAAATATTTTCACTAATTCCAAGTGTTGCAAAACTCTCTCATCCAGAGTATGTGTGGGTGGAGCGGCCTGCTTCCAGTCCAGCAAAATCAAGTGCCTAGCTAAAGGATAGTAAAGACATTATCATCTGACCGCAGTTCCAGAAAAGATATCTTAACTAGGTGGGTTGGCAAAAAAGGCAGCCAGTGGACTAGTATTGCAAAAGTATTAGAGATCCAAAAAGTACAGAATGCTGGATAAACTCAAAACATATAAAGTACCTGCTGCTGCCATCATTCAATAAGGGATACATTTTTTCAAGTTAAATTTTAGACTGTTGTAGATGATGAACGATCTTCAATGGTACACATCCACTGTAGAAATCTGTACATGTGTTTTCCTGTCATTCAGCTGTTTGATTTTCACAATGTTAACAGCTGCTATGAAAGACACCAGCACTTCATAGTCTTACCTCCTGTGCCTTGTGTCCTCCTCCCAGGTGGTGACTGAGCCCCCGAACGGGCTGAAGCTGAACATGAGAGCCACGTACTTCAAGATCCCTCACGAGGCCCTGTCAGAGTGCCCTCACCCAGCCTTCAAGAGCCTGGTGTACGTGCTGGCCTTCTTCCACGCTGTGGTGCAGGAGAGGAGGAAATATGGCAAGATTGGCTGGAATGTGCCTTATGATTTCAATGAATCGGACTTCCAGGTAAGAGCGTGTTCTTTAGCTTTCCGTCTGTCTTTACAAACCCGCGTGAAGCTGGATTATGTGTAGCTCCTGTGCCTCTTTAGAAAGAGCCCCCTTTATCCTATCAACACTGCCTGTACTGTATCTGGGCAATGTGTACTGTAACCTTGAGACAATGTGGCACATCATGATAGTTGCCTGACAGTACAATACTGTATTTATTATATGCCAACATAATTATGTATTTGGTATCGTTTCCTTTCTAAGCACAAGCAATTAATTTGTAATGCATAGTCTGCACGACATACCAGCCTATTTCTTTTTATACCTTATTGTTTTCAATACTATACATTCATTGACCAACATACTAGTAGCTTGGATAAATATACAACGATGTGCCTCTGTGAGCTGCAAAAACTGTTTCATGGCAAGATCAAGACATGGCGTATAGTCCACAAATTTCTGTTTTTCTAGGAGAATTGTATACAGCTGATGTTGTGATGGCGATGGTGTGTGTTACTGAAGTACATATAGCAGTTTTCAATAGGATTGAGATCTAGGGGTTGTTCTGCTCAGGGAAGAAGAAAGTACATCTCATGTTCCTCAAAATCATCCACGCATTGCCTGACATTGATAGTCTGTTAATTTAATTGGGAGGGGTCCTTTTTTATTATAACTCAGAAAAAACAGTCCACATGCATTTCTTTTCCAGCATAGCATTGCACTGACCCGTACAGTTTCGGACTTGTCTGAGCACACGATGATACTAAAGATTTGATTGCTTTCATATGCGTTACCTGCTGGTTGCTAAAGCTACTGTACTTTCAAAACCCTTTCAGGTTTGCATGGAAATCTTAAACACTTACCTAACCAAATCCTACCATCAAGGAGACAGTAAGATTCCATGGGGAAGTCTGAAGTACCTGATTGGAGAGGTAGGGCTCATCTGTGCTTTCTGTTGTTTTACATGTGAAGCTGGTCTTTGCAACATGATGCATAGACCTCTCTCATCTTTTGTCCAACGCTGTGCAGGTGATGTATGGAGGCCGTGCCATAGACAGCTTTGACAGAAGGATCCTCACTGTCTACATGGATGAATATCTGGGGGACTTTATATTTGATACCTTCCAGCCCTTTCATTTCTTTAAGAACAAGGAAGTGGACTACAAGATTCCAGAAGCTGGACCCAAAGATAACTATGTTGGTGAGGTTTACCTGCAGTTTCATTTGATCTATGAGTAGGATTTTAAGTATTTTACTTGACTGTTGTTGCTTTTTATTACACTGATTTTTTATTTAGCTAAAAATAGCATTTTTAAACAGTGCATACTGTAATTCTGTAATTGTTCTAGCACTTTTAATACCTGCAATGTGAACTGGGTGTTGTAATTAATATGTTAATAAACATTTAGAATAATTACATTATAGTAACCCTTTACCTTTAGATATTCAGCTAACGTAGGTATGCTGATTTGATCAAAAATGGAAAGTCTTTTTTACTCCCAGTGGTAGGATCATTGGAGTTTTAAAAAAATGCATAGAAACAATGTGATGTGTATGAATATTTCAGCGGAAATTGAATCCCTCCCTCTGGCCAACACTCCTGAGGTGTTTGGCCTTCACTCCAATGCTGAAATTGGCTACTACACCCAGGCAGCCCGGGACATGTGGACACACCTGATAGAGCTGCAGCCACAGACAGGTGAGACAGACCGTGCAGGATGACCTTCTCTCTTTTATTACTATAGTTCTGCATTGGCGTTGTTCATTCTGTAGTGAGAAGCAGTGTCGTTTTCTGTAAAACTTCTACATTTTCAGAAAGATGAGAATACAAACTATATGATCCATAAAACCAGAACAGACTGAACAATTTAGGAACACTTCATGGAGTTCACGTTGTGTTTTGTCACATGTTTGTCACATTTAAGTGATTGAGACACTAACTCAGGTTTATCACTCTAGCAAGAGCCTCAGTAAAGCAAAGCTGATCTCCAGCTCCTGTTTTCCTGTCTGATAGGGGAGTCTGGAGGAGGTATCAGCCGGGATGAGTACATCAGCCAGGTTGCCAAGGACATCCAGAACAAGCTGCCCAGAGTGTTTGACCTGGACGTGATCCGGAAGAAGTTTGGCCTGGAGATCTCGCCCACCTCCGTTGTGCTGCTGCAGGAGCTGGAACGTTTCAACAGGCTGGTGGTGCGCATGGCCCGCTCCCTGGCTGAGCTGCAGAGGGTGAGCAGCGCACTGCACCGTTTAAACCTGCTGTTTATGTAGCTGGTGTGCAGTGTAGTGAATGAATACTTGCTTGTATCAGTGAACTATTGGAATGACATACTCTCTCAGGCACTTTCCTGCTGCTTTTAATTAATAACAGATAGTGTTTAGAAATGCATTTCTCAGGATTCTGATCTTTCCTTCTCACAGCCTTTTTTATTTTCTTCTTGCTTTAGGTTTGCAAAATATTAACTACAAATTCACGGACTGTGGTCAGAAGTAGTGATGGCTTATTTAGTGCTCCAGGTTATGCATTCAGAGTTTTGTAACTAGGAACGGAAACACTAAAGTAGTGAGAAAACTGAAAAAAGATCCAGATCAAATGTCTAACTTGCAAAACTTGAGCATGACTGAAGAGGCTACAAAAAGATCTAGACCAGCTGAGATGCTTATTATTTTGTAGTCCTATTATGCTTTTCAAAATAAATTTTCTTTAGGGTGACCGTAGAGCTCAGTAAAAATTGGCTTGTAAGTGGTTCCTTTTATTGATCGTCAAGTTGTGTTAAAACACAAATCATTTGTAAAGCTGTAAAGTGTGAAAATCTGTCACGCTGTGCCAGGCTCTGGCTGGAGAGGTGGGCATGAGCAGCGAGCTGGACGAAGTGGCACGGGCCCTTTTCAATGGTCAAATCCCTGCCATCTGGCGGAAACTGGCACCCGACACCCTCAAGTCCCTGGGCAACTGGATGATCCATTTCAAGAGGAGGTTTGAGCAGTACAGCTCATGGGTAAGCCTAAGGACTATACTAAAGAGATGTAAAAGTATTTAGTTTTAGAAATCAGAATAGATAAAAAAATATAAACGTTTCCATTTCAAATATTCACATCCACTTTTAAATAGATGTGCCAATTAATCTTTAATATTATTATTGCTTGTAGTGTTTTAATTTTGCTATATATATATAAAAGTTTTTGGAAGTATTTTCACACTACTGTGCAGTATTTCACCATGTTTTAGAAGATTTCTTAAAACCCATCACCTGCCATAATTAAAATAGACAATCATCATAATTATAAGCACTGTCGTTTTATGACCTGATCAGATGAGACCCCTCATGCTGCTTCTGCATTTGGTCCTGTTCCCTAGGTTGAAGATGGAGAGCCCAATGTGATGTGGCTCTCTGGACTGCACATCCCTGAGTCTTATCTCACTGCTTTGGTCCAAGCTACCTGCCGCAAGAACTGCTGGCCTCTAGACCGGTCCACCCTCTACACTCAGGTCACCAAATACCGTACCGAGGAGGAGGTCACCGAGAGGCCAGGTCAAGGTACAGCTCCCCTCCTCATAGCTCATCTCACTGCAGAACCCTTGACTAGCGGGACTGCACTGACGCTGCAGACAGCACCTCTCAACCCTGAAACCGCTGGTATAATTATACAGGCTTTTCAACTGATGTTGTATATCATCTAATTTCCACTTGAACAGGACGCACAGAATTCCTTGTTATGTTGTAGTGTGAGTGGTTGAAAGGGTTCACTATTAGTAGTGATGAAAATGGCCTTTTTAGCACTTTGAATCACACAAAAAGCCAGTGAGATAATTACAGTTTTAAAAAAGCAATTATGATGGAGTTTAAAGAGTGCTAATAATAGACTTTTACATACTTGTTGAATAATACCATTTTCAATAATGATATCATTTTAATGTAAAGAGAGCATTTTTAAAATAATTCTAAGAAATAGAGAGGATACTACATTTTGCAGAGGTAAGCCTACTGTACCTAGTGTTTTATGGTGGCAAAGTACACAAAATGGACCAAATGATGTTTGTTCTTCAAATCTTCCACATCAGATTGCACTGTGTTATTCCAAACCAACTGAAGAGGTCCCGCTGCCTTTACTCAGGGATCAAAATCCATCTTAACACAATCAAGGCAACAGTTTTTGACAGTGCTCTGGCCGCCAGCAGCCTTTATTATTAGATTATAGCATGCTTTCTGTGTACTATGAAAGGAAAGATCTTGAAAGGGAGAGGCAATGCAGAAGTCCGTGTGGCTTTCACAATTGCAAGCACATCCAGATCAATGGAAATATCCCTGTTAAAGAATCGAGAAGTAGATTCTCATAGGGGTATTGCTCTAAGTCTTTTTTATGGTTTAAATGATTCATGATTTTGGGTAACAGTATCGCTGTTTTCCAGGATGCTTTGTGTCTGGGTTGTATCTGGAGGGGGCAGACTGGGATATCGAGCAAGGCTGTCTGGTTCGCAGTAAACCCAAAGCGCTTGTTGTGCAGCTGCCCGTTCTGAAGGTCATTCCGATTGAATCCCACCGCCTGAAGCTCCAGGTACGAGGAATCTCCTAAAGCACGCTCACTTTCACCTTGTGTGCAAGTACTGAGAGAAACCGGAAAGAATAATCTGAGAAATGTGTTGTGACATGCAGGTGATAAATTAACGCACTCTGGGTGGCATTGCTTCGCATCCAGCAGTTACTATTTACCTTTATTCTTGAAAATCAGTGGTATAGTTTATCCATCAATCTATATTCTAACTGCTTCTTCCAGTTCAGGATCTCAGGTGAGCCAGAGTCTGTTCCGGCAAACAACAGGTGCAAGGCAGAGTGCACTCTGGGTGGAACACCATTCCATCGCAGGGCAGACTCACAGACACAAGCACATCACAATGATCTAAAGAAGAAGTGCTCTTTATTATATTTATGGAAGAAATGTATATTTAACAATCTTCAACTTGAAGTCAAGCAAAACAGTTTTTGTAATATCTGCCAGTAGTAAATGTTTTACACATTGAAGCTGAATTTTGTGCAATTCTCGGGCAAACATCATAGAAACCACACTGAGTTTCCAGTTACTGCATTGTTTTATGCACAAGTGAGCTGTCTTTCCCTGCAGGCTACCTGACCTTGTGAACTGCATCACAAGTGAACTCCTGCTGCGCTACAGTACTGATAGTTTTATCTCCACTGCTTTCAGAGGTAGCACATCCGGGGAGTTCAGTGAAACAGGTTGCGCTGATTGTCATTTACTCGTTCCTTCCCCAGAACACATTAAGGACACCAGTGTACACAACGTCAATGAGAAGAAACGCGATGGGTGTAGGCCTGGTGTTCGAGTCAGACCTCTTCACTACCATGCATGCCTCCCACTGGGTCCTGCAGGGCGTCTGTCTGTGCCTCAACTCCGACTGAGGCAGCAGCTCTTCAGAGTACAGTCTAGCCCATTGCTGCCTCGTTCAAATTCACAAATCTGCTTGGAGTCCACATGTGGAATGTACTTTTGAAATCCAGGAAAGATTAATATATATTTTCTTAAAAAAAGGTTTTTACCATTCTGTAAGTTAAAGTTTACATTGCAATCAAAGTTATAATGTTCTTACATAGTTTGTGAAATAAATTAAAATTTGTTACTTCAATGAGTGTGTTTATATTGTATAAACTTGAGCTGACAAGATTACTCCCAAAGTAGCTAGGAATGTTTGGAGAGTAATACCCGCAGAGCCTCTAAAACTTCTTGTGGCCTGTGATTGTGAAGAGTAGCTGGTCTTTTCGTCAGAAGTTTCTTTTGGATTAAGGTAATATATATTTTTTTAATTACAGTGAAATCACTATGTTTAAGTGTTAAGAGTATTTGTTGCGAAATGGTCATGTTTAATGTGAAATTTGAAAGTGCAGTGTCTAATAAGTATACGAGTCCAGTACTTGTACTGTGTAGCATATGAAAAGAATCATGACATTTTGGGTACACACACTGGTGTGCAAAAGTTTTGAACATGTATGTTATATACAGTATAGTAACTATTTTAGATGTCTACTGTATGTGCATCAACAATGCACTCAAAACTTCCGCTAGTATTTAATTTATTATAACAATATTTACTGTCATTTATAAAACTTAGTTTGGGAGATCGAGAAGGAAACACTGGATATTTTCCATTACTGTTTTTTACTTTACGCAACAGTTTACAGTACATGGTTACCATTAAAGGGAACTGCAGTCCCAATTTCAAATTATTTCTCATTATTACTTTAATCATTACATCTCGGAAATAAAATAAATTAATTGACGGTATCGCAGAATTATACAAATTCAAAATTAAGCACGAAATCGCGAACGTCGTGAAAGTGCTGTGTGTAGTGTCTGGTCGCCATTGTTGTCGCAAACTCTTGGTCACGCCAATGGCTGAGAGCCAGAGTTATCGAGAATTGCAGCAGACATTTCACCGCAGAAATGTCCCAACGTGATCTGCATGCAGAATTAACAGGTATTATTTGTAGGCTAAGCCGTCTCGAAGATTAAAAGAGATGTATTTACAGGCCTGCTTGTTTAAAATGGAATAGGCCGCATCAACTCACCGGAAGTCTTGTTGCGTTCTGAATAGCAGACCAGGATGACGGCAATATGGCGCGGCGCGTACCTGGAAAGTGAGATATTGCATGTTTGTACGAACTTGTAGTGCAGCAGAAGCCAACAATAATGCAGATTTTTTTTACGGATGACTTGTCCTGGAAGCTGTTGCTCCGTACTTGGCTAGGAGTTGTCTGTTGGAGACGACAGTAGCATGTACGTGTACACGTGTGTGCGTGTAAGGGATAAAATGGAAGACCATGCGAGGGCGGAGAGAGGATGTCGGAGCGCGCTTGGCACATTTCAGACCTAAATAAATAAAGTAAGTATGTTTTTTATTCAGGTACCAATAAATCCAATAAAAATACAGCATACGAGAGACTAACGGGAACGGTGCTGCTTCGCTATGACTAAATAACCTTCGTTTTCCAGAGCGTGTTCCGGGAGGGGAGAGGTTATGATAGAATGGAGGAGTTTATTCCTACATGTACATTGTAGAAACCACACAATGTAGACAGTACATTACAAAACGCTACGTAATAGTGATAGTTTGTACCGTCAATAAGAAACAGAACCGGTAAATACGAGGTAGTGGGCAAAAGTACATGGTAGTCCAAGTCAAAAGTGCATCGTGCCAAGAGGTGTATTGAGTTCTAAGGCATTGCACAGTTAACACAACGTTTCGGCTGAGGAAGGCTTCACAGCCGAAACGTTGCGTTTTTTCTCTCGTATTTTCAGCAGGGAATAAACCTATTACTTGTTCCTTTGCAGACTACGCATGCTGACGCAGCCACCCACCTGAACCATAGCAGTTAGTTCTTTATGAGCATTGCTTTGAGTGAGTGTGCATTAACACGAACAGAAGGTGTTAGAGTTTATAGCCGTGCGGTTTGTAATTTTCAATGTGAAAGATGAGTTGGCAGATGTTGACTTTTTTTTTATTGGTCCCCGAGAAGTGTCGACAGAACCTTTACGTTGCCAGTACTGTAACTTGATCAAGAGATGCCAAGTACTCTGAATTATGTCTCTAATTACGAGAGAAGGAAAACAAAGCTTTTTTAAAAAAAATAACGTGATGCATGTTAAACGACTGAAGCAGTTGGATTCACTGTTTCTATGTGTGATTGTTTTGTAGTTTTAGAGGGAGTGAGTGACATGAAAACCACTATATGAAATAAAACGTGTAAATAAAACTGACAATAGCTGTGAGTTAAAATGGGTGGAGCTTGTTTTTCTGGGTAAGGATGTCTTGCATATATTCGCAAAAATGCCTTATGCTAGTTTTCCCATTCAAAACATGAGACTGGTACCTTAGGGCAGTTTCTGTCAAACAAACGTACAATATTTGAGACTGGAA